GTGTGTTTGTTATGTAATACTTCGGTCTCCGTTGCTAAAAAAGGAAATATTGAGAGACATCATAAAACTGTACATTCTAATTTTGAAAAATCATTCCCACTACATTCTGCTTAAAAAAGCAGTTAATTGGACAACAATCAATATTTTGAAGAACAGTCGACAAAAATAAGGCTGCAACTGAAGCATCGTACCGTGTGTCCCAGATAATTGCACAAAAAAAGAAACCTTATGAAGACGGGGAAATGATAAAATAGGCGTTTTTAGGAGCTGCTGATTCGTTATTTGCCAACTTTAGAAATAAAGACGAGATAGTTTCAGCTATAAAATTCATGCAACTTTCTGCTAATACAGTGATGAGACGTGTAGAAGTAATGAGCAATGATATTTTTTTACAGTTAAGAACTGACTTAGATAACTGTGTTTATTTATCACTTTAACTGGATGAATCAACAGATGTCGTTGACACTGCCCAGATGGTCGTGTTCGTCAGGATGGTTTTTAGTGATTTTACGATTAAAGAAGATTTTTTGAAGTTTATTCCACTGAAAGGACACACTACTGGACAGGAGTTGTTTTCTCATTTAAAAAATATTATTTCTTCCGAGAAAATTCCAATATCGAAAATGGTAGGCTTGACAACCGATAACGCTCCAACTATGGTGGGTTGTGATAAGGGTCTGGTGGCGTTATGTCGTAAAGATGAAACTTTTCCGCAATTTCTCTGTTACCACTGCATTATCCATCAGCAAGCATTATGTGGAAATTTCCTGAAACTAAACAACGTGTTATGAAACTGGTGGTAATAATTGTGAACAAGATTAGAGCTCAAGCGTTACAAAGAAAATTATTCAAAACCTTGGCCAATGAAGTTGACTGTCAATACGGGGACCTACTCCTTCACTCTGAAGTCCAATGGTTAAGTAGAGGACGGGTGCTGAAACGTTTTAATGATGTCCTATCTGGCATAGTTCAATTTTTCAAACAACGCGATGAACCGACTCCGGAACTAGAAAATTCAATCTGGCTTAGAGATTTTGGTTTTCTCGTGGACATTACAGAGAAATTTAATTAAACGAACTTAATTTGCAGCTTCAGGGGAGAGACAAAGAACTAGCGGAAATGATTTCTGATATAAAAGCATTTATCAAAAAGCTGGAGTTTTGGAAACAAAACCTAATTAACAGCGATGCTAAGCATTTTTTTATTCTTTCAGAAAAAATATCTCAAAATCCATTAGAACCCTATGACAGCAAATATCATGTAGAAATAGTTTCTACCCTGAAGAATAACTTCAAAAATCGTTTTAAGGATTTCAACGAAATGGCTTTAGTAGCGCAGTTTGTTGTTTCACCCTTTATGGAAATTGATATCCAACAGTTTGCAACTTGTGTTATGCAGAACTTTGGCGAAGACATCGCTGCAACAGAAATGGAAGTTTCAAAATGATTTATCCTTAAAATCGTTAGTCTCAAGTACCAAATATATCTGGCCTATTGTAAGTAAAGACAAATATTCAGTTCTATGCCGTGTTGCCTTGAAAGTGAAAGCATTATTCAGTTCAACCTATTTGTGTGAATCTTCTTTTTCCAATATGAAGTTTATGAAGAACAAATATCGCAATCGACTTACAGATGAACATTTGGATAATTTTATTCGAATGGCTGTATCAAATTATACTGCAAACATTAAAAAAATTATCGATGAGTCTGAGTGTCAGCCTTCTCATTGAACGTGCTTTTTTATTTTTCAATGTTTATGTTCATGATAGTACGTTACTTTTTTGTTGTTATTATTAACTATTTTTAAATCTTACGTGACATGCCGTTGTGGCTGGATAAAAGTTTGTGTTTATTTTTCAAACACCTTCGTTTGATAGGTAGGAATGTAGATATGAACAAGTACGTACTAGTAATATTAGTTATTTTGTTATTAGTTTATTATTAGTACTTATGTATTATGTATTACCAGTTAAATAGTAAAATAAATACATATAATGATAAATTAACTGTGGATTATTTCATTTACGTTGCGTTACGTGGCTTCCGTGTGGGTAGCTCGCTGTTTATTCCAAAATTTACAAAGTAGCTCAACACATTGAGAGGTTGGCGACCACTGATTTAGAAAAATTGCCCAGCAAACAGTAGATGCTGAAAAAAAAATACATATATTTTCTGAATCGTATTAAAGAAATTAGCGCCTTCAAAAGATGCTTTTACCATATCGTTAACTACGAGATTGAGAGAGTGATTACTACATAATTATGAAATTGTAACATAATTTTCCTTAATAATCGATAATTATTGTAACATATATTTTTAGTCTAAGAATTTTTTAATTTGGCAGGTTTTCTGCTTACCTTACGAAACCAATTTAACAAACATATTAAAATTATTTTAGAAAGAAGTCTAGACAATACACCAGTTTTAAACATGGCCAACATAGTAGAAAAGAAATGGAATAACATAGAGAATGCAATAAAAATATCAACTGAGAAAAATATTAATAAGAAAAAATCGCAGAAAAGAAAAGAATGGTTAGATAACGAATGTGATGAAGAAATTAAAAAAAAAACACAATCTGAGAGAAAAATACCTACAAACAGGGAACGATACAGACGGGAAAAAATATATAGAACAAAGAAAGGCTGGTAAAAAAATGTGCAGAAATAAGAAAAGGCGCCACCAAGAAAAAAAAGTCGCAGAAATACAAGAAAATTACAAAAAAAATGAAATTAAATACTTCTATAAAGATGTAAAAGGTATACAAAAAAAAACACTTGCAAAAAAATATTTACATCAAGGATAAGGAGGGAAATTTAATAGGAGGAAAAAGCGAGCAAATGCAAAGATGGAAACAATATTTCCAAAACCTACTGAACGATGAACCTGAAAGGCAGAAAGTAGAAGAAGAAGCAGCAGAAGAGGAAGAAGAAGCAAATGAAATCCCTGTTTACACCGCTGAGGAACCCACAGAAGAGGAGATAATGGAAATTGTTTCAAATATGAAGAACAATAAAAGCCCCGGATCAAACAAAATTACCGCAGAGAACCTAAAATATGGAGGAGAACAACTTATAACACAAATAATACAACTAATCAAAGAAATATGGAAAGCGGAAGAAATGCCAATAAATTGGAGGAAAGCAGTAATACTGCTAATATATAAGAAAGGGGACCCAGCAGACTGTGGAAACTATCGAGGTATAGCTTTGCTGGACGTTACATATAAGGTACTAGCCACGTTAATAAAAAGAAGAATAGAAGTAGAAGGAGAAAAAATTATCGGAGAATACCAATGTGGCTTTAGAAAAAGCAGGTCAACGACTGACCAAATCTTTATTTTAAAACAGGTACTCACATGTTTCTACGAATACGAAATACCGACACATATCATGTTTATTGATTTTAAAAGCGCATATGATACAGTAAATCGACGAAAATTGGTAAATGCATTGAAAGAACTAAAAATACCTCCTAAACTTGTAAAACTGACGAACATGACCCTGGAGAATACAAGGTGTGCAATAAGAGTAGGAGGTGAGGAAACTGAAGAATTTGAAGTCCAAAACGGGCTTAGGCAGGGAGACCCATTATCCACCCTTCTTTTTAACCTAACCCTTGAAATAGTCATCAGAAACAGTGAAATAAACAAATATAGAACCCTGATCAACAAATCCCACCAAGCATTAGCATACGCCGATGATGTTGTACTGTTAGCGAGAAGCCAAAAAGAACTTAAAAACATAACAGAACAGTTTTTAGACGCGGCAGGAACAATGGGGCTAAAAATAAATGAAAAAAAGAGTCAGTACATGCAACTGAAAAACAAACATTTAAGAAAAAATCCTGGAAAACTAGAATTACAAACTAAAACCATAGGAAAAATAACAATAGATGAGATAGACAGTTATATGTACCTCGGTGTTCTCATTACAAATAGATGCGAAGAACAAGCTGAAATAGATATCCGTCTAGCAAAGAGCAATAGATGCGCAGGAGCATTACATAATTTACTTAAATCTAAAGAAATGTCATGGGAATTAAAGAAATGTGTGTACAAAACAATAATCAGACCTACAATGCTATACGGTAGTGAGACATGGACACTAAATAAGAAAGAACAAACCAAAATTGAAATATGGGAACGGAAGATACTAAGAAGAATATATGGAGGCAAAAAGACAGAAGAAGGATGGGAAAGACGAACAAACAAAGAAATTTACGAAATATTTAACGAACCCAACATATACGAAATAATTCAGTCAAAAAGGTTACAATGGTTGGGGCACTTAGAAAGGATGGAGGACTCAAGGACAGTAAAAAGAGTAGCTTGGACAACACCAGAAGGAAAAAAAAGAGAGGAAGGCCTAGAAGAAAATGGAGGGAAGCGATTATAGAAAATATTAAGGAAAAAAAGATCATCAACTGGAAACAAAAAGCCAAGAATAGGGACGAATGGAAGAAACTAACCAGGCCATAGACCTTAACGGTCTGATTCGAGCCTTATATATATATTAAAATTATTTTATTTTATTTAAATAGTGCTAACACCTCTTGGCAAATAAAAAAAACTATAATAAAAGTCAAACACCATCTACATAAATATTACTGTACTTGGAAAAGATCTATTGCTTCACGAAGTGGGGAATTCCCCGACTACATGGGGTTTCAGGGTTGCCAACCGTAAGATTTAAATCGTATTTATACGATTTTTTAACTCTATGTACAATGTACGTAAAAATACCATCTTTCCTTTTTGGTAGGTTCATCTAAATATCTGCAACAACTAAATTAATTCAAAACATAAACATTAAAAATCAAAAACTGTCAGAATATTTTAGATGGAAAGATCATATTTCAACACTTTTATGATTTTTAAAATTTACTTCATATTTTTAAGCTATATTATATACTTTGCACTTTAGCTAAGTACGCTCCAGTAAATCATTACCCTCGAAACGCGATAATAAATCTAATAATTGGAGATAACATTTTATCACTTAATAATGATTACAATTTTACATCTCTACAATACATTTTAAAGATTTAAATAAATAGTTTATAAAAATCTTTTTTTTTTAAATGAATATTGCTAGAACACTGTCTCAGAATATTTTTGGTAAACATTTAAAAATGAGGATTGTTCAATTCAAATATGGCAACGATGGAGTGAGGATAGGTGTGTTAAATGGGGATAAAGTTATTGAAATAAGTGCTAATGGTGTGCCCAGTTCATTGGTGGAGTTTCTGCAGATTGAAAATCCTTTGGAGAAACTAAAAAGGTACAGTAATCTTCAAATAATTTGTATATCTTGACACCCGCATTTTTTTAGTCTGGCAGCAAGTTCAAAACAGGAATACGACATTTCAAAAGTCAAACTGCTATCACCAATAACCAAACCAGATAAAATCCTTGGTGTAGCATCGAATTACAGATGCGACTGTAGCAAAAGAAATATCCCCTTTCCAAAAGAACCCACTGTTTTTAGTAAATTTGCTTCGGTCATCGTTGGACCATACGACGACATACCCAAGTCTATATCAACGAATGTAAGTACCAATAATTGTATTGGAGGATACTATGGCCAGCAGGATCTATCGATTTAACTTTTATTTTTAGGCCATGGACTGGGAAGTTGAATTAGTAGCTGTCATAGGCAAAAAAGCACAGCACGTCAAAGCTCAAGACGCCATGGACTATATTTTTGGATACACCATCACACAAGATTTAACAGCCAAAGATTGGGTGATGAGAAATGGAGGTCAGCTCGTTATGTGCAAAGCGTTCGACGGATTTTGCCCCTTGGGGCCTTGCATAGTGACCAAAGAAGAGTTAGGAGACCCGTATGACGTTAGATTGAAAACGTGGCTCAATGGAGAGCTCAAACAAGATGGGCATTCAGAGAATATGTTGCAAAGAATTGATAAAATGGTCGAGTATTTATCGAGGTGATTTAACAGTCAAAATCATCATCACCTTTCTCTATTCAGTACCAAACGATCTTTTTTACAATCCTATCTTATTTTTACAATTACTTTTGTTAAAGTTTACTCATTTTATTGTTTTAGTGTCATGACTCTACTGCCCGGTGACCTAATTTTAACTGGTACCCCCTATGGAGTCGGCGCTAGTCAAATACCTCCAAGATACTTGACTAAAGGAGATTTATTGGAAAGTGAAATAGATAAAATTGGAAAAATGTCAAATAGGATAGTTTAGAACTAAATGCTGTAAATGACCGTAATATATTTTCAAACAAATAAATAATTTTTACGATAAAATGGCAATGACGTGTTGTTTGTGTAAAAAGAGCTCAATGAACGTGTTAAGAAATTGAACATCGTGTTCGATTAACCGAACTATAACTTAACATAAAAAGGATACGCAAGCCCATAATAATGACAATTTTAGGTTAGAAACAACTATGAAGTATTAATTAAAAGTTTAACATTATTCAGACCTATAAAAAAAATAGTAATAATAATAATGTTCTTACCGATGAAAACTAATTTTCAAAAAGTCGTTTTTAGCAGTCTTTAAGCATCTACAAAAATAGAATACATCGTATGTCGCAACCCCTTAGATATACCAACCCTTCCGTTCAACAGCCATTTTGTTTTGAGTGCCTAATTCGAGTGTCTTGAGACTCTTGAACCGGAATGCAGTGTGGAGTCTTTAACTGTCACTTAATATTGTTGAACTGACAGTTACGTGTTGTCAAAGGTGTAAAAGGGTTAAAAGAGATTGAGTTGTCGACAGTTGACAAATGTCAGTTGACTTAAATGACCTATGACGTATTACAAACAATATGAAACGAATTAAATAATTATTTTTTGTTCTTCCTCTTGTGAATCTTCGAATATGATTTGAATATCCTCGAAATATATATATTATAGATAATAACATTAAAATATATTTTGTAATATTCTTATAATGGTTCTTCTTATTTTTCCTTTTTTTTTATTTTGACGTTCATCATAAAATAAATGACAATAATAATATTAATAATAATGTAAGAGATTCAATGATCGAAAAGCATTGGGACTAATACTGAATAGAACCCCTGGGAGCCGTTATTCAGGACCGTATTCGTATCCGTCTTGTTGCGTGTGAACGGATACGCCCAGAATGGGGGAGAGAATTCTCGAAAGAATGTTTTATTCAAAAGGGTTTTTTTATGAGTCGGATGATGTTTAAAGAGGAAAATTGGTCGAAATAAAAACGAAGTTTGTTTAGAAAGCGAAAAATTCGTTATACGGAGAAAACTTTACGAACTGTTTTTTCTTTGCAGCTCTAGAATAAAAAAACCAAGTGTAAACTGTTTATAGTCCTTTGCATTTCACAACAAGCATGTCTACTCTAAAAATGTTAAGAATATTGTTTATTATATGAAGCTAAAAACACGATAAAGTTCCAATTTAGTTTTCTAGAATTTATAGGTCTAGGTCAGTGGTCGCCAACCTCTCAATGTGTTGAGCTACTTTGTTAATTTTGGAATAAACAGCGAGCTACCCACACGGAAACCACGTAACGCAACGTAAATGAAATAATCCACAGTTAATTTATCATTATATGTATTTATTTTACTATTTAACTGGTAATACATAATACATAGGTACTAATAATAAACTAATAACAAAATAACTAATATTACTAGTACGTACTTGTTCATAGCTACATTCCTACCTACCAAACGAAGGTGTTTGAAAAATAAACACAAACTTTTATCCAGCCACAACGGCATGTCACGTAAGATTTAAAAATAGTTAATAATAACAATAAAAAAGTAACGCACTATCATGAACATAAACATTGAAAAATAAAAAAGCACGTTCAATGAGAAGGCTGACACTCAGACTCATCCATAATTTTTTTAATGTTTGCCGTATAATTTGATACAGTCATTCGAATACAATTATCCAAATGTTCATCTGTAAGTCGATTGCGATATTTGTTCTTCATAAACTTCATATTGGAAAAAAAAGATTCACACAAATAGGTTGAACTGAATAATGCTTTCACTTTCAAGGCAACACGGCATAGAACTGAATATTTGTCTTTACATACAATACATTTGGTACTTGAGACGATTTTAAGGCTAAATCATTTTGAAACTCAATTACTTCCATTTCTGTTGCAGCGATGTCTTCGCCAAAGTTCTGCATAACACAAGTTGCAAACTGTTGGATATCAATTTCCATAAAGGGTGAAACAACAAACTGCACTACTAAAGCCATTTCGTTGAAATCCTTAAAACGATTTTTGAAGTTATTCTTCAGGGTAGAAACTATTTCTACATGATATTTGCTGTCATAGGGTTCTAATGGATTTTGAGATATTTTTTCTGAAATAATAGGAAAATGCTTGGCATCGCTGTTAATTAGGTTTTGTTCCCAAAACTCCAGCTTTTTGATAAATGCTTTTATATCAGAAATCATTTCCGCTAGTTCTTTGTCTCTCCCCTGAAGCTGCAAATTAAGTTCGTTTAATTAAATTTCTCTGTAATGTCCACGAGAAAACCAAAATCTCTAAGCCAGATTGAATTTTCTAGTTCCGGAGTCGGTTCATCGCGTTGTTTGAAAAATTGAACTATGCCAGATAGGACATCATTAAAACGTTTCAGCACCCGACCTCTACTTAACCATCGGACTTCAGAGTGAAGGAGTAGGTCTCCGTATTGACAGTCAACTTCATTGGCCAAGGTTTTGAATAATCTTCTTTGTAACGCTTGAGCTCTAATCTTGTTCACAATTTTTACCACTAGTTTCATAACGTTGTTTAGTTTCAGGAAATGTCCACATAATGCTTGCTGATGGATAATGCAGTGGTAACAGAGAAATTGTGGAAAAGTTTCATCTTTACGACATAACGCCACCAGACCCTTATCACAACCCAACATAGCTGGAGCGCCATCGGTTGTCAAGCCTACCATTTTCGATATTGGAATTTTCTCGGAAGAAATAATATTTTTTAAATGAGAAAACAACTCCTGTCCAGTAGTGTGTCCTTTCAGTGGAATAAACTTCAAAAGATCTTCTTTAATCGTAAAATCACTAAAAACCATCCTGACAAACACGGCCATCTGGGCAGTGTCAACGACATCTGTTGATTCATCCAGTTGAAGTGAAAAATAAACACAGTTATCTAAGTCAGTTCTTAACTGTAAAAAAATATCATTGCTCATTACTTCTACACGTCTCATCACTGTATTAGCAGAAAGTTGCATAGATTTTATAGCTGAAACTATCTCGTCTTTATTTCTAAAGTTGGCAAATAACGAATCAGCAGCTCCTAAAAACGCCTGTTTTATCATTTTCCCGTCTTCATAAGGTTTCTTTTTTTGTGCAATTATCTGGGACACACGGTACGATGCTTCAGTTGCAGCCTTATTTTTGTCGACTGTTCTTAAAAATATTGATTGTTGTCCAATTAACTGCTTTTTTAACTGTTTCAGTTTCCCCTTTCTGGCGGCAGAATGTAGTGGAAATGATTTTTCAAAATTAGAATGTACAGTTTTATGACGTGCGTATTTATTCCATTCAGAGCAATCCTGATCGTTCTCGAACACTAACGCGCTGGTCCGGCTGGTCGGTTCTAGCCGATTCTAGCCGATTTTAGCTTGATGGCATCAGCGGCAGATCGCTCACCGCAACGTTGCCGCTGTTTATGTTTAATATTATGACTAGATTTTTTTGTGGAATTTTCGGAAGCTTCTCTGATTTTTGCAGTTTGTATTTTTTAAATTAAAATGTTGTGAGAGCTACCAGAATTGCCTCCGCGAGCTACCGGTAGCTCGCGATCGACAGGTTGGCGACCACTGGTCTAGGTTATATCCTGGTGGTAGCTTTTCTGCACTGCTAACTCATTGATACTATTAACTGTTTGATCCCGTTGACCGGCCGTTAGGCGGGTCGTGGTCATCTTGATAAAAAGTACCTATCGTTATTGTGGAAAATTTACTTCAACAAATGATATCAAATACATACATCCAAACTGCGATATTACAATACACACACGTGTGCAGATGGGATTTTAAGAGTTGTTTATTTCTATAAAAACTGATTTCATTGCCGCAAGTGTCTTGAGAAATATAATCCAAAGGACAATGCGAATCCAACAGTGATACAACGCAATTAATTAAAGAAATTTAATGGCTGACTAGAGAAAAACAAATATTAGATAAGAATGTGAATGAAATGGAATATTTAAATGTCATCCTAAAATCAAAAGTTCCGGTAGGTACTACTTCATTATCGCAAACAAGTACTTTTTTGCCGCAAAGTGATGAGAACACAAAATGTTACGAAGCTGTTGTGTTATTGGTCAGATTAATGAACCAAAATATTAAAAATATACAGGTGGCAGCAGATAATTAAATCCAAGAAGAAGAGTCTACTTCAGGAAGTCAGGATGAAAAAAATCGAAAGGTAAGATCTGATTGACGAAGCTTCAAAATCTTAGGGACAGTGACGTACCGGCATCTTAGCCATAACATATTCAGCCTAAATTTTTTATCGTTCATAGTGTGTTATGTTATTGTAAATAACAATAGATGCTCCACGTCTGGCAGAATTGTTTGGATAATGTAATCACAAATTTTGTAATTAGGCTATTCGCTCAGTGCGAAGTCAAAAGCGATACTAGCACTAGCTGCGGATAATTCGTGCATTTTAGGGCGATATTTTGTAATTTTGGCATATCAAATACACGTATATATTTTACTTTTTTTTTTTCAAAAAAGTAGGTAAAAACAATACAATAAGTAACCGGAATTGCTGTAGTCAAAAATTGTAAAAATACTAGCCAAAAAAAAAACAGGGTAAATTATAAAAATTTTCAGTAGCAAAATGGAAATTAAATCAAATAAATAAATGGATATATGTACATTAAGAAGAAAAATTATTTTTATTTTTGTAATAATAACAGTAATGCTGGAATTAGTAGACATAAGAAACTTAAAAGGTTTTAAATAAACAATAAATATCATTTTACGATGTTCTAGAATATCCCTTTAATTTTAAATGTTCAGCAAGTACTATATTTCTGCCTTTGATTATTATATGTGGCTGGAATACAATTTTGTGACTTACTGATAGGAAACCAGTTTCAATCATTCATTCTATGTTTTCTTTCGAATAAAAATGAAAATATAAACAACATATATCTGTTTATACATTTTAACGTCACGCTATTATTTAAAGGTATTTTTTTATTTTGACAGAATAGATTAATTCTTTAAAGACAACTTATTAAACTTTTGCAACTTCTTATACATTTTCCCGTAA